GCTTATATATGTTTTTATGTTGGCTTAGACTGTTGTATAGTAATGGAGTAACATACGACCATGTTGAAATAAAAAATGGCCGCAATCCTATGCTTTTCTAAGTGTCATAACTGGGTTCTCCACTGTCCGAAATGTGGGTTTAGACACCAAAATTATGTCTCTACGACGTCTTGAAGTCTAGTTATTCAAAATAAACAAATTTCACTGGCGGCGATCTTTAAATCCAATATGGCCGCCATCCTATGTTTTTTAAATGTCATAATTGGGTTCTCCACTATCGAAAATGTGGGTATAGCCACCAATATTATGTCTCTACGACGTCTGGGAGTCCAGATATTTTAGAAAATCCATTTTTGCTGGCGGTTATTTTGGATTTCAAGATGGCCGCCACAATACGCAAAATTCAGCCTGGAAACATACCCAGTGAAACTCCCCAAGTATCCTAGAAACGATATTTACTCGTTTCCAGCCTCTACCCAAAAAGTTTAGGCTCATCCTTTTTTTTGGATATCGGCCCCCTGTCTATATTACTTGGCTGAGGGTCATTGGTTGTTAGTTACGTCATTTCGTTTTCGGGAATCAGTATCTTGCTACGATCGTGTTAGGCAGCCTGATACGGCGTACGAACGACTGATTATTAATCAACAAATTATAACATTGCAGGCTGGATGTAAAGCACATTCACATTATTTTCATTTGCCACCTTACTATGTCCATCATTCCGATGTGGATGTAGCATTGCCATCGGTAGAGGCGCTTGCTTTTCCGGACTTACCGCAGATTTGGCATCACTTGTTTGCTATTACAGGATACTCTACGGCTAACATGTCGGACCTCATGCCTCGCATGCGTCCTATTGTTCCGGATGCCTTGTATAATCATAATGACCTTGATATTGCTTTTGCTAAATTAGCAGATGCAGTTAAAAATAACCAGCCGTTTCCCATGGCTTCAGGTGATGACAAATTCCATTATGGGAATATTCAAGCACGTATCCATCATACTACTACGTATGCGGTACTGGCATTTTGCTTGTTGGCAATAGTGATATTAATCTTCATCACTCGTCGATTCGGTTGTAAGGGATGTACGCCTCATCGCCAGGAGGGCTCCTTCCCAATTACGCCTCTGCATTTACAGCCGTTCACTGTAGAGCCACCACCAACACCACCACTGCTGCCCCCCTATGTTACATTCGATGCAGACTCCACCACTCACAATTCAATAAGAACCTCATTACGCTATCCCTTCTGCAAACCCTGTCTTAGAACCAAACACGCCCATCACGATACGCATGTAACGAGTCTCGATACCAATTTGCATTCAGTAGCTGGAGTATGCTCGCGTTTTTTTCTATATTTATTGATCGCTGGTCACGCTTGGTAGCTTGCTTTTGTAGAAATGTGGGTTGTTCTGATTGTCGTCTGCGTAATTCTTTCCTTACCTTTACAGTAGACCTAGTAGCTCTGCGTGTCACGATGTGCACATTTATTGTCACAGGAATGGGATATGAGGTTTGATTTAGATAAACCATTAACACCATTAATTAGATAACACCATTAAATAATTATAACTTGAATAATTTTACTCGTTGCAAATATGAATTATAATACTTGTTTGACATTAACACTGCTAATTCAACATCAGAAACATCATCAACATCATCATGAGCATCCCGACCAGATTCAGCTTGAATCTCGTACCCAGGCGGGAAGGATCCGGCCTGGATGGACTGCCGCACACGGGAGGCAACCCCTGGGCGCCACAGCCATGGACGCAGCTGCGTGGAGGAGGTGCGGGCCTCACCGCCTGCATCTTCATGGACCGATTCAAACGAGACTACCCCCACCGCTACTATAATAGATTCCGAACACGGGAGTTCTCACTCCGCCCAACTTCACCACCACCGTCACCGCCGACAACCCCCACGCCCGAGCAGTGGGATGAACAGCCAACACCGCCGACAACCGCCACGCCCGAGCAATGGGATCAGGAGCCGCCGGCATGCGCCATGCTTGAGCACTGGGCGGAACATCGCTACGGAGCGCCGGAGATGAGCCATCCAAGGACGCCACCGGGGCGGACTTCCAGCCTGCGGGGATTGCCTCGTTGGGCGGCCCATGCAGCACGAGGCGCGAGGGGCTACCCTAAACCCCCCTTCACGATGCCGCCAGCATACCCGGACGGACATTGACAGATGAATAGTAATGAATAATAGCTACCAAATGTAACCAATTTCCAAATGTAACCAATGTAGTTCAACCAAATGTTCAAGTATCTCCGCGGTTAAAAAAAAAAACACCAATAGTTGTATAAAATGAAAATAATTTTCGTTCTTTGTAAAAATATTATTATTATATTTGCTTATTTGACACGTGCCACAGTACTATTGTTGTAATGAAGTATTACTGATCTCTTTTCTGTACCTTCTTTTCTTCTTAACACGTTCAACGCGAAACACGAGTATACTCGTTCGAACCTGCAAAACGCACGGCCGCGAAACACGAGTATACTCGTAAAAAGAAAAAAAAATTGGAACGTTTACTATGTTCTACTATAGATGACATGGGCTGTACGCTTACAAATTCAACAGCGTCACTGTACACACCCCAGTAGTAGATGACATAATTTATAAAATACTTTACTGTTGTTTGGAACGTTATTTTGGGGGTTTTTGGGACTGAGGTAATGTTTTTCGTTCACCTCGCCAAAGGGCGTTTGACCGCCGGTTGTTGTAAAGTTTTTTTTGATGTCTGCGAGTTGTGTTTGATTTGATTGATCACGGGTGATTGATTCCGGGTGTTGTTTTGATGTCTGAGAGTAAGTTTATACTAAGTTTATACTAGCCACTCATTATAAATAATTTTATAGCTAGTTAAACCTGCCAAAAACATTTTGTGTAATCAGTGACTAAGCAGGAAAAACGCGAAAATCTCAGCACAGGGCGGTAGGTGCATTGTTAACCATGCATCGTTGAACGTGTTAACTTATCATAACATTATTCATTCTGTATTTTTGCTTTTAACGGTTCTTGACGTTACACGGTGCAGCGGGGCGGAGTCTAGGAGTCGCTGTTCCTTACAATAGCGGCTACCCCTCCTTTACAATAGAGGCTACCCCTCCCTGGCGGAGTTCGACACGTTCGGGATGTGTGAAACCATGCGGCCGCTGCGATATGGCGTGGCTATTAATTACCCACATAACCGGCGGTGTACATAGAGATTTATTCTAAACCGGGAGCATCTGCTAGGCAGCTCTCGGACAGCCGAAGGATGGCTACAAAGGATAGTTCCTTATTTGGGAGGGTTCGTGGATACTAAATTGAGAGCATATATAAGACAACGCAAAGCGGGCATTTGTCAGTCTCTAATATTGTCTTGTGCCTGCGTGACCGCGTGCATCGTTCATTGAAGTCGTGAGTACGTAAGTTCATTCTTAAAGCGATGGCTTAGGGTTCTTGCCACTATATCTATCTTGCTTTTATTTGTTCTATCTTAGTGAGCTGTCTTCCTAGTACGTGCAATAATCTTTCTTGTATTTCTAAACGTAGTTTCTTATAGCTGTTGTAAGAGAAGCACTTTGCACCGTCTTAATTGTCAGCACCTCTCTTGTACTATAGTGCTACCATTCTACTTACTGCGAGAGCTTTCTTGTAATAAATCTTATTCTTTGTGGCACTGTCTCACTCTCTTGTGCTTTGATTATAAGTGTTAATATTTCTACACACTTCTTGTAAGACGTAGAGCACCCCCTTACAATATATATATATATATATATATATATATATATATACATGTGTGTGTATGTGTGTGTGTCTTGTGGCGGAAACGAGCGCACGAACAGGCGGATGTGTCATAGCGATAACGAAATGTGTCTCGTTTCCGCCACAGACATCTGATGACGAATGTTGGATTGACCCGAATCAATTAATCATCTTAAGATGCCTTATCTGCAACAACTCGGGAGCTCTGTACTACGAGCCTGCATGACCTTATTTACATAATACGTGCATCGGCCTTATATTTGATGGCGCACGGATATTTCTTTCGTGGCGTAACGGGATTTATGTTGAGAGTGGGGGCGGGCTTTGCTATTCGACGATGTCTTCGTCTCGCCTGCATCATATATCTATATTGATAGAGTACTGATCATACTATACTATACTAATAAACTAATTAGATTATGATAGGATTTAATTTAATTAGTATTATGATATTATACTAATAAAGGTGTGACCACAGCGAACAGGCGCATAGACTCAATCACGGAAATTAACTCATTATCACACATAGGCCTACTACTAGCTCAAGTCATTCAACCGCTTCCTGCCTCGTCAGCAGGCATTCTCACACCGCGGTGATCTCACTGGCCACCACTCGGCTGATTCCGTACCGCCATCTATGATTGAGAAAAGTAGCGGAGTTCGTCCGGCGTTTTGCTAACGATAGGAAATGGTACGAAAAGTCCATCGTTCTCATCACAGAGATCATTATACAAACAATGCGGAATTTAGGCAACCCGCAACAGGGCACAGCGCAAACTGCCGTAACTAACACGTACTCGTAGCTTCTTCATTACGTTGGCAATATGTACGTACAACGAGCGCGCGCATATTATGGTTGGCCATCGTACTCAGAAATAATTATTTTTACCGGAGAAGAAATGGTTTAAACGCGGTTAAATTATGGCCCATATTACCCAATCAGAAACTTTGTGCCATATAATTTACCCGCGGTAAAAATAATATATCCGAGGTTAAATTATGTGCAACAAGGCCTCCGAAAGGGTAAACGGGTTATAATTAAACCGCGGTAAAAATATTTATTTCTGAGAACGATTGGCAACCGTACGTGCACACCGAACAGCTCATCACTTAGGTAGCAATACATTTCTCTTGCAAGCGAGCTATGTAGTATGTAGGCCTATGCATCGGCATCAACGAATACCTCGTTGCTATCGTACTCGTACGCCCGCTGCTCGTCCGCTTCACCAGGAACTCACCGATATATAGCTGCCATCGCCATCCGGTCTCCCAATCTGATACGGTCTCGATGCCTCCACGCCCCACGCAGGGGAAATTCCGCCATCTTAATTAACTGTTCCCGGGATACACTCCCGAGACGAGGGAGAGGGAGGAGACGGGAGCGTGTGTGAGGAAGGGGAGCAGTGTTGAGAGCGCACGCGGAGAGGTGAGGCACGCGATGGGTCGTGCCTTCGCACTCGCGCTGGTCGTACTAACTGCCGTGATTCTGACGCTGCTACTACTGACAGCACCGCCTGCCATCACCAAGCTGCTACCGGCCTGCAGGATGCCCGGTAAGATATAGCCGCTCTTTGTACCTATACTTCTTCAATACTTCCCTACGCAACCTGTACTTCACTACGCATTCGAGCAGTATCGTAGACTTGTGTTTGCGCGTAGGTAGCTGCGTGTGTAATCTAAAAAGGTATTTCGTTGAAATGAGGGAGAGATGCAGGAGTTATGATAAACGAAATATCATTAGTCTTGATCGAATTATTGCTGTGAGTTCGTTACATAGCCTCAGTGACCTGGTAGTCGTGGTGTCCGTTCCCATTTGAGTCCTGTTTATTCAGAATGTCCTTGATCAGAGGAATTCGAATGGTCGGATCGGATGGGTGGTGCATGCGACGTTCCCGGAATCAATCTTGCCAAGGGTATGAGGTCGCTGTCGCTAAAATCATTATCGGATGATACATGCCGTTGTATATCCTCTCCGTCTGAGTCATCGGTGGAGCTATCCGTGGATGAGGGTGCCACCGGATAGGCGCGTGTTGCTAATCGTAATGGCTGCCTCCTCGTAGGTTTGTCCTGCAGCTGTTCTTGTTGTTCTCCCGTGGCTTCTTTATCAGGCTGGTCCCAACGCAGATATGGATGAGCTGCTCGGAGGTTGTCGACATGTGCGATTAACTCGCGTCTTGTCGTCTCATGTTGCAGCGTACATTTCTTTGGGGATAGAACCTTTATAACGGTGAAATGCGGCTTCCATGGAGCTGCTATCTTCGCAGTCGTGTGTGGCTTCAATGTCGGATCGTGGTAATATACGGCATCGCCTACCTTAAAGTCATGAGCTCTTGCTCTTCTGTCGTAGAGCCGCTTATTTCGTTTCCTAACCTTCCTTGTTGACTCTTTCAGATGTGAATATGCGTGATGAAACCGTTCTATACTTTGTGATAGGGGTTCCTCGTCGTACCCTTTGCGCCTAGGTAACAAAACGTTATCGAGAGGAAACACAGGGGCCCTAGAATATAGGAGGTAGAAAGGTGAATGTAAGGTTGTCGTATGAATACTCATGCGATATGCTGCTAACAACGAGGGGAGTAGCAAGTCCCAATTATTTTGCGCTGAGTTCACAAATTTGGCAAAAAACGAATTAATAACGCGATGAAAGCGTTTGCATGAGCCGTTAGAAGCTGGGTAATAGGGTGCACATCTAACAGCCTTAATCTTAAAATGGGTTGTTAATTTAGTCATGAGTGCATTTACAAATTCGGTCCCATTGTCTGAAAGTAACACTTTTGGGCATCCATGACGTGGAATTATCTCGCTTATTAATAAGTTAGCCACTATCGCTGCAGTTTTATTTTTTACGGCAAAGCATTCCGGCCATCTGCTGAGCTCATCGTGAAAATGAATGACGTATCTATTTCCACGTAATGTCGTGGGGTACACGACCGTGTCGACTGATACTACTTCAAAAGGTGCATTAGGAATCGGAGCAGCACCTAATGGCGAGGGTATACGGGTTAGTTTCTTTGACTTACACACTGTACATCTGTTAATGTAATCTTTGATTGTGACGTACATCTTGTTCCAGAAGTATCGTTGACGTATAGAATTATACGTTCTTGCAAAGCCGAAATGAGCGCCGAGTTTGTCATCATGATGTGCTGTAGTTACTGCTGTAATAAATGTCTCTGGAATCACTAATTGTGCTTCAACGTCATATTCCTTCACTGACTGAGGGATATGGTAGAGTAGGTCATCTTCTTCATCAATAAAATATGACGATAATATTTTTAAATCCTTGATAGTTGTAGCTTGAGATGTGAGCGTCGTACGTATTAGAGAAATCATGGTGTCGGTGTCTTGATGAGCCTTGAGAGATTCTAAAAAAAGTGCCGGCGGGTCTGTATCCCCACTTTCACTGTCCATCTCACTTTCACTCTGGTGAATGTAATGCATGGTCGCAGGTTGCAATGCGTCGTTTACCTGCGCTAGGTGGCGCCTGTTGTCCTCTGCGGTATCTGATTCCCTAGCTTGCTCGTCGTGGGAATCTATTGCCTCGTCTTTTACTTCGGTTGTGTCGGTTGTGAGTCGACTCAAGTTATCGGCGTGCAGTATAAATTTTCCTGAAGTATACTTTATGAATGGTTGAAATTCACTAATAATCATGGCCCAGCGTAATAACCGCGGATTTTTTAATGTTGGACTTTTTAGAATGAACTCTAAACACTTATGATCAGTTATCACCGTGAAATTCGCTCCGACTAGGTAAAATCGCAGTCGTTGGAAGGCAAAAATCAATGCGTATGCCTCACGGTCTGTCGTGGACCACCGACATTGTACTGGATTTAATTGATGGCTGAGATAATAAATGACAATCTCCTTGCCTTCATCATCATCTTGGGCCAGCACTGCACCTACTGCGTAGTTACTCGCATCAGTATACAACTTGTAACTCTTATGTATATCTGGGTACCCGAGAATCTATTTCTTTGATTCATTTTCTTGAGATATTTGTTCAACCATGAAGTTCGAATAGTTACACACTGTCAAAGACATATAATCATGTCGATAGAAAAAATGGCTTGGCTTCACCTGAATATATCATTTAGCAATTAATATCATATATCATATAAACAGTTATACATAAGCCTAATCATGTTTACCATGTAACATGACATTAGTCGCAATCATCCGACTTGGCATATGAGATCGATCTGGGGAAAAATCGCAACAGTGCATCGTAGACATTTGAAAGTGTATAGTCAGCCAAAAACACAGAGCGGGACGAGTCACACGAAACGTGTCAAAGTACCTTCGAAGTGGTAGAAGAAGAGAAAGAAGTGGTAAAAAGAGAGCAAAGGGACGAAGTGACAGCAGATTCAAACAAAAGGATAGGAATCTTAATCGAGCCATTGAAAACGTTACAAGATTAGGCTGCGTATCTAGAAAACCATCTTATTATGGTTACTGAGAATAGTATCAAGGATAGATAATATGAAATTTGACAGAGTCAATTAGTTTTAGTTCGTAGTGGTGCCACATATTCGGTGGGAGAGCCAGAGCGGCAGACGCACGTAGTTGATCGTGGGCTTATCACCGTTCATATTAAACTCCGTTATCACACTGGAGAGTTGCTATTACACTGGTATTTACTCGTTATTACATGCATTGTGCACCTATATGAAATTGTGGTGCCTTACGTTGGCCTACGGGATTATGGACATTCCACCCCTGCAATCTCGCCCCTACCGACTCGCCCGTTGATGCTAAGGGTGGCCAGCGTAAAAATGTAAATCCACATTACCTATATTGATTGTAACCTTAACCGTGTTCCTAAATTAATTTCTACCCCAAACCCTACACTTTAAAACCTAAAAACGTGAGTCTACATTTGTTTAAAAAATTTAAAATTTCTAGCAAAATTTCAAGGAGGCGACATTGTCAGGTAACAATAAAATAAGTAGACGAGATGACGGCGTGAAACTCTCAACACCCGAGATCTTAAGGCTGAGCACGTGTGTATGCTGTATATTACACGTATGTCCATTGCGTAACAAATCTACTTGGTTTCGGCGGATAGCTATTGCGCCGCGTATACAACTTAAAATTTGGGTTTCAGCATACCAGCTTGTTGCGGTAAGGGGGTGGTAGCGCATGGTATTTCCCACACAGTTCCGCAACAGAGCCCAATAAATGAATTCGCTGAGCACAATGTATGTGTAAAACAGTTTAAACTGACTAAACACGGTATCAGCGCACAGTTGTGTATGTTAAAAAAGTATGTTGAGAGCTATACTCGGAAGTATAGACGTGATTGTAAACCTAAAAGCGCTCGCATATACTATATATCACTGATATTGGTGAAGTACGTAGAAATGTTGACACTTACAAAATTTTGTAATACATTTGTAATATGAATAGTATATTATATACTTAATATAAATAATATAGACAAGCGGAGACAGTGCAGCAAAGATACAGATTTAATAAAGAGGAAACTAAGCCTGTGACAGTACAATAGCTAATACAGTGTTGGCATATCCACCCGATAAATAACAACACCATGTGTTTCCGCAACTGCTACGCGAGCCTATAGCACTCCACTGGCAAAAATCAATGTGAATAAGCAGCTAGTCGCATAAATTTAGGAACGAGTTTAGTTTTAAATTCTTTGAAACTGCGTGTTTACAATATGTACAGGTATGTACTATCAAGAGCATATACAGAAGGTTTATATGATCTTCTTTATATGCTCTTGGTAGTTGGTACTATGTAGTGGCCTCGAGCCGGCCACGACCCGAGTCCTCGAGTCCGGAGGGCTCGAGTTCGAGTCCGAGTCCGAGTCATTGCACTCCGAGGCCGAGACCAAAGAAACCGGCCCCGAGGCCGGACTCGAAGCCAAGACCGGCCTCGTGACCTACAACACTGGTGTGTGTGTGTGTGTGTGTGTGTGTGTGTGTGTGTGTGTGTGTGTGTGTGTGTGTGTGTGTGTGTGTGTGCGTCAAGAGA